TTCGAAATAAATATTAAAAAGAAATTTGTTATTTTTTGTTATCACAACAGTATTTCTCTCTGAGCTTATGCAAGCAAATTGATTAATTTCTATTCCTAATCAAAATTAAAAAATATTAAAACATGTCACATTTTATATATGAGAAATTATAACAGATGATTTATGTACGGCATTTCGACATATTAGAAATATTATTAACTTCCTTCTTGGTATGCATCAACAAATCCATCCTCCCACCCAATTGCAAGCCAATAATATACAATTGTACATCCCTAGACTTCAAATGTCCTGATCTATTTGATTCTAAAAGGATCAAAGGATTTTTTGAACAAAGTCATTTTCTCCCATATGAACTATGCGAATCACCAATTGTAGCCTATATCTTCTTTGAGGTTGATAGCATACACTTCTTCAACATTTCTCCATAAAATTTTTTCTTAAGCACGTTTGAAAATTAAAAGTGGTTTTTTGCGAATACCCAACTTTCCAACTCGTACACGAATACTATTTAGTTCGTAGTCTTATACAGCAGTAGTTTGGATATTAACATATAGTAACAAAATATTTTAAATCCACTTCAAAACCAGTAAATAATAGGATTTCTGAAATAGAAGTATGCGGTCATACAATCATGAATATCTGTAATAAACAATTTCAAAAATGTCAAAGTTTTAAACAAAAAAAAAAAAAATACAGTTACTAGTAATATTACATAAATTACTCTAGATCTCTAGATCTATATTATTTTTTTAATTCATTTTATACGTATATATATCCGTATATATTTAGCAAAATATGAATATAGATTACTTTACGTTTAAGTTATATTTGTATATACAAATGTATGTTTAGTAAATTACTTCTTTAATTAATCCTTTAGAACTATGTGTAAAACACGTAGATTATTTAATTTTGCTTTAGATGATGTGTTTATCATTCGACGGTCGTAAGCAACTGATTATTTTTTATGTTATTTTTGAACCGAAAAAATCTGTGCTTATGGAAACATTTCGTATTTACATCTTAAAAATACACATATATTTAAAAAAAAATATTTTTTTAAAATCATTTTTAGAGTAGTCGTATGAGGACATTTTTATAATAGATAATTTAATTTTATTATTTATGAACTTAATTTTATATTAAATATTTTTATTTTCACAATAATTAATTAATTTTTCTTATAACAATAATTGAAATTTTAAATGATAATTCACTGATGTTGTCTGTTGTTTTTAAACTTTTGAAGTCACCGCACTCAATTTTACGTTCGTTTCAGATCGCCGTGCTTTACCTTTTGAATTGAATTCGCTGCGATATAAAAAAATTATTCTGTCAAAGTGTGCAAATGTGGTTTCATTTGCTCAATTTTTTAAAATTATACGAGCGAATGTATTTGTGTAATTACTATTTGGTACAAGTTTGTGTATATGCATATATATGATATTACATTATAAATTATTTTTGTGGTTTATTATGTTGCGTACTTGATTTCAATGCACTCTTCGGATCTAAATTATTACTAAAAAAAGATTGAGTTAGCAAATAATGCAATTTCTTCTCTTAGAATTAAAATCATATGCCCGCATTATATAAATAATTAAATTACAGTTCTTAAAATTAATTTTCTGGTTTAACTTCTTTGCTATGCCAACATTTGTAATTCGTTGATGATTTAATTATTAAAATTTAAATTTAAGATTATAAATAAATATCGTAACAAGTCAATAAAACATCTTACAGGTTGATATTTTATTAACTACAATATTAAAATGTAAAAGAGTTAAATAAAAGTATAAGTCACAAAAGTTGCTTCACATTATTTTTTTATTAAAATTACCATAATTTTTAATAAAAAAATTGAATTACCAAAATGACAAAACCTTAAAAGTAGCATCGAAGGATACCGAGTCTGTTAGTCCTGACCAAAGCATATATATTTATATATTATTATTATATTATATACAAATATATTAGCATGCAGTATATTTCACATTGAAATGCTTTGACTTCGGTAAGTGATTTGTTTATCCTAGAAACCAGTAAAAATTATAAAAATGGGAATCCATTTTCAATATTTGCCGGAATATTATGTGTTATATCTTAAAGTCTATATATTTATTATACAATCTGAAAAATTTAATCTAATTTTAGTTCATTTAATATTCTTTATTATTATGTTGACGCTAATTGAGTCAGTACATTTCAGCACTTTTACTCTCTATTAACTGCGAGGCTTTTCCATAATCCCTCTTTACATCTTGACTGGATTATTTTTTATCACTTCATCAGACATCAGACAATAACTGACCTCAGATTTGCATACCTCACCGAGGATCCTATACCCATTCTGAGATTCGATAACGCAGTGTTGGGAAACCTGTCAGCTTTCGTAAATAGTTTCAGGGCTCTATCCTTTATATATTTTTTAATCGGATCAATCTTGAGGTCCCTGAGAATGTCATTCGTCCTAATTTACCATGGTACCTTGAAAAGTGTTCTCAGAGCCTGGCTTTGTGCAATTTCTAGCTGGTGAATAGTAGTATTTGAGACCTCGCTGAACGCTACACATCCATATAGAAGTGATGGTCGAATTATTTGGTTACCTATTAGCTACGAATGTATTTAAAATAGTGTAGTATTATCAGTTTAATCATTGTTTTGCATTGTTTGAAAATAATTCTAACCAATAAAAGACACGGATCACGGATAACACGGATAACAACGACAATAAAAATAATAGCAAGAGCAACAGTGATGTTTTAATTTGTAGACACATGCTCACATACGGGTATTAAAACAGCAATAAGAATAATAATAATAATAACAGCAGCAGTATAATATATGAAAATAAAAGAATTTAAAAGAATTTAAAAAAATGATTGTTTCTAGAAGAAAACAGAAAAGAAACAGAATAAACATTTTTAAAAAACTCTCAGGACCAATTTTCAATGTGAACAATATTTTCTTTTTATATTTATACTATCACATATTATAGTTTTATATTTCTGGGATTATTTTGTATTTAACAAATCACACATACAAACGATATTTTATAAATTTACCAAATTAAATGTAATATCACATTTGATTAAGTAATTTTGAATAAAATTCCTAAATATCTGAAGTTTTCCGCAATTCACGTTTATTATTGTCTACTGACATTTAATTTAAACTCCAACCTACGCACTTACTCAATGCATAAATAAAAGTACATATTACGTGCAAAATTTTTCAATGATATATATAAACATTTCAAGCAAAAAATATAGATCAAAAATTCTTCTAGTTGATTGCAACTGTCAAAAAGAATTAATTGTTGATGTTGATGTTGCCTTTGCTTTTGCTTTTGCTTTTGCAATATGTTTATATTTCAAGTACAGTAATTATCGTAGATTGTACGGAGGAAGATATAAAAAAATGAATTTATAATTTGAAGATCATTTGCTTTACTAATTATGGTCAAGTATATTGTTATTTCCATTTTTGTAAATCAGTTGAACCTCAAAAATATAGGTATGCACATTATATTTTTATAGCTAGAAATAGTGTATAAAGTTTAAACTATTTTATAATAAATTCAACCGGATCTGTCCTACAAACGACGATCACTAGTAGTTATTAATATAAAATCAAAAAATTTAAATTTTATATTATTCTATAAAAAATTTTTATTACTAGTAATAGGCATCAATCGAAAATTAATTACTTAAGGAACACTCTGCTTAATTCTTTAGTACTACCTACTTGATCATTTAAAAACAACTTGTAAATTTTGTATATTTAATAATTTTTTTTAATATAATCAGACTTTTTGACCACAGTTATATAGTGGTCATTAGACATATATATTATATATGTCGTTTACTTTAATCAATCTGGCTTGTTAGTACCGATATATTCGCACTGAATCGGTATTGCTTTACTTGAAGCAACTACCTAATTAATGGAAGTTTGTCTAATTTTAACCAATAGAGTCTTTTAATCTGACAATATTCATTATTTACCCAGGCTTTCATTACAAATCCTGGATTTACGTTTGTTTTCTTTTGTTTACAAAAGAAAAAAGAGGTTGTAAAGCCGATTAGAGATTAAGTTGTAGCTTGGATGGCGGGTAAAATTACAAAATTCATACCGGAAACTGTAAGATTCAGAAACCGTTGTTATTGCCTCCATCTGAAAGGCTGTGTAATCGTCAGGCAGTCAAAACAAGATGTTTGGCTTGCTGTTTTACCAAAACATTGGGCAGCAACCAATGAAGTATCGTGAAAATCGATTTCGTTAGGATGGTGCAAAAAGCCCCAGTAATTTGATGTGCGATCATCTTTCTCACTTTGTCAAGAAGCCTTATGAAATTAGCCTTTTCAGAAATTTGCTTTAGTTCGACGTAGAAGTTTAACCTAGAGGAGGGGTTAAACCAGAGGAGGGGCAGTAAGTAGTAATATTATAATTCCATTTTAAAGACTCCCAGATGTCACCACTCTTTCAAAACATCGTGTGGCACATCTGCATTAGCCTTAACGCTGATTCTTAATTGCTCCAATAGTTTGAGTACTACATTCGTTGCAATATTTCAGAGAAAAGTAGAAAGAAAGCCACCCTGTAGCGTTTCACAACAAACCACCATTCGAGATTAAATTAATTCAAAACAAAATATGTACATGCAAATTCTTTCAATGCCTTTTTTGAATTGATTTTATGCAAATTTGATGTTTCAAGTTATATTAAATGTTTTAAATTAAAAATCTCAAGAAGTAAAGCTTTTGATGCGTACGAATTCCAAGCACTGCCGTGTCTAATTATTATTAATCACTTAGATAATTGTTATATATTTAACCTAAATTCTATATTAATACAACATATTCTATTAGGAAAACATATTCTATATGTTGCCCTAAATTCTATATTATTTTCAATCAAATGTTAAAACCTCTTGAAGCATTTTTAATCTGATTTTTCTTACGCCCTGTATTTGTTGTGTGACATTTGAACAGCTGATTAGATGCAACCGAATGGAAGTGGTGTTCACATTGTTATTAATTTAATGTCGATAGAAAATGCAGTTAACAACAATAAAATTGTTTGAAATTACCAAAATTTCGTTTTTTAATAAAGCAGCAATTAATAGATTAACGGTCGCAAACATACGAAGTTATGCACTAGCGGCTAATAAGCAAACTGATTCCAGTATCGACCAAAGTTCTGAACAAGAGCGAACCAAATCATCTGTGGCAGAACAGCGTCTGATGAATATTGCAGTAATTGGAGTACCAAATGCAGGCAAAAGTACATTTATAAACAACTTAATTCAGCATAGAGTAATATTTTTTTTTATATAAAAGTGAAAATTTTAAGCAAATATTTCTCCTGTAGATTTGCCCAACTTCATCTAAAGTACACACAACGCGTGATCTGCATAAGGCGATATATACAACTGGTAACACACAATTGATATTTTATGATACTCCAGGACTTGTAACAAGTAGTGAAATAAAAAAACACAATTTAAACAGCTCTAGCAAATCTTTTAAGATTTCCGCTTATAAAAATGCACTTAAACAAGCAGACATAATAGCAGTTATGCATGATGTGTCTAAAGCATTCACACGGAAACAAATCCACACTACAGTACTGGATACATTAAGAGCTTATCCAAACGTTCCAAGTTTTTTAATTTTGAATAAAATTGATGCTTTAAAGTCGAAGCGTGTGCTTCTTGAATTAATACGCATACTTACGAACGGTACTCTATCTGGTAGACGTAAATTAAAAGGGAAATCCGATGATGCAAACAAAGAAGAACTTGTGAAATCTGTTAAGAGTACAGAAAATTGGAGTCATTTCAAGGATGTATTTATGGTGTCATCACTAACAGGAAGTGGTTTAAGCGATATTCACGTATGAAACTATTTAAGTATACATTTATAATAAACGTTTTAGAAATGCTTTAGCTTTGAGTCGTATATTGTAGCAGGTAATTATTTTAACTTTACTAATATAAATATTTTGTGTAGGATTATTTATTGAACATGGCTAAACCTCAAACATGGAAGTATGCAAGCGATATATATACGGACTATACACCAGAAACTTTAATTGTTGAAAGTGTGCGTGCACGACTATTAGATTATTTACCACAAGAAATACCATATACTTTAAAAAGCGAATTAGAATATTATAACGAAGAAAACAGTTAAGTAAAAGTAGAATTTAATTATTAAAATTTAAATTAATATTTAAATAATTTATTTGAATATTTTTAGATATAATTTATGCATCTGTACAAGTTTTATGCCCGACAACACGTTTAGAACGTTTAATATGTGGTGAATCGAATGGCAGATTGAGACAAATCACAGAGCGTGTCACATCAGATTTAGTGGAAACTTTCGGAAAACCAATTTCACTTACCATTGCTACACATAGTCAAACAAAATAATGACATTATAAATGTTTTAATCATATTGTTACATAATAAATATGCTATAATAGTTTCAGATGAGCTACTAATTTATCTATTCGTTCAACTGTGTCTGGCCCCACGCCTAGTACAGTTGGAGTACCTGGTGCTAATTCTGTATGTCCTGCATCTTTTACTACAGCGGCTACAACATTGATGTTCGCTGCCTGCTTTTGCAATGCAATAATGTCTTCATAGGAATTAATACGTAACACAATTTTGGGTTGACCGGTATATGTCCAAGCATTCAACAATTGCTGTTTTGCGTTATTGTTTTGTGCTTCTTGATAACACATTATTGCTGCATGTGCACACTGTGCTGCTGTTTTTCCTTTGGACATCTTGATGTCACCACGCACAACAAGCGCCAGTTTAGTGCGCGGTGTTAATGGACCATTAAAAGCACGTTTAATTATGTTTAGTAGCATGGTAGATATTTATGTTAATATAGTTTATTTAATATGCGAATATTTCTGTGATTGCTGGTCAATGTATTTCTGCATACACTGTTTGAAATCTTTCACCCTGTCTTGACAACTGCGCCAGTCGCCAGTTTCTGCAATACACTCTTGTACTTTATAATGCAGCTCAATGCAACCAGTTTTTTTGAGCATTTCTTCTACAGGATCCGAGTCTAATGAAACTGGCATTATTTGTATTAATTATTATTCGCAAATGTCAATTATTGACAAAATTGAATAAAAAGCTCATGCTTTTATTTATAAACAGCTGTTTTCTTTTAGAGTTGCCAAATATGTTTCTAATAAATTAAAATTTTTATCTATATAATCAACTATCTATTATTATCGTAGAGTAATGTGTAGAATTTAAATAACATATGTTATTAGGTGAATTCAGAACGTTGGGTTTAGACATGGTACTTAGAACGTTGGTTTTGTTACAAAGTATTTTGAAAGCATGAAGTGACACAATTTAAAATTTTCAGATATATCTATATCATATTCGTTCGATTTTCTTTTTCAAAGTAATCCCTCATTTTCTGGCACGTATTCACTATAAGGGGGGAATGGGCACAAGTTCGAGTAATGTTGAAAGCAACCAATATAAAATCAAGTTTACATATGAAATAATTTGATTTTTATGAAAACACGAAATATATGAGTTGTAATAACACAAGAGTTATTATAGGGATACATATATAGTAATATATGCCAGTTTCTGATATAAACAGAGGAAGGTTATGAAAGCGTTGACATAAATCGCGACTGGATTTAAGTATCAATTATGAAACTTACTTTATTAAAAAAATCTAACAATAACTATTGTTATCTTTCAATAACTCTAGCTATCGCCATTCCACCTTATTCTGCAGCATCTTACCAACCCTTTGTTGACCTGCTTTCAGAATATCTTTTATCCACAAAAACAATTACAACAAACGACACGAAATAATAAAAATTCTTATTATTAGAATAATTCCTTTAATAAGAAGAATTGTCATTATTTTGTGTCGTTTGTGGTTATTGTTGTTATAGCTAAAAGTTATCCCAAAATCATATATATAAGGGGTTGGCAAGACACTGCACAATAAAATGGGATGGCCATAGCTATATATATACCTCAAGAAAGCAGAGCTATAAATCCCTAGAGCTCACATTTGTGTGTGCATTTGGCAAAGATAACGAGTGACCGACGTGGAGAGATGAAGAGTAGAGATGCTATTGGAAATAGACGTATACATGCGTGACAAGTAACTGTTACCTATCGTTTTCCTGACCTCAATCATGTTATTCTCTGTGTTCTGCTATGAACACTGTTTATGAATATTAGTTCAGGAAAAAAGTTTTAATAATGTTTATAAACTGCTGTAAATTGTATTATACACGGAATTCTACAGACAAAATATATGTAACGTATTTATAGCAACCAATTAAAGTTGTTTTCCACTAGAACTTAATTTTTAAAAAAACTGACCTTTAAAATTGAATATTAATAACTATTAATTTTTTGTTTATTTTATCCTAATAGTTTAAAAATTAAGTCTAAAGTGAATGGACCCTTAACCTTTTTAAAATTCAGTATGTTTTTACTTAATAATACCCATTTTTTGAAGACGTGATTATGTATAAGTACGAACCTGTGGTGCAAAAATTTTATATTAGTTATTTAAGCAGATCATCCAGTTTTCAAAAAAAACATATTACACAGCTTTAGTTTTTAGTAATTTTTTTGAAAATAATATTTGTATTAAATAATATGTAAAAATTAACAGCTATTAATTTCATAAAAATATATAATACGCAAATAAATCAGTGCAATATATAATGTTTTCATAGAATTTTGAACAAGAGTACATCAATTACAATTATGCTATAATGTTATCACATATCCAACTTGTTTGGAATTAGAAATATTTTTTGAGAATCTTTTTTTTTGTAAGTTATAATCAATCTATGTAGTAATGACTAAAATATTAGTAATTAATCCAAATATAAGTGCTTGTTATAACAATACTTAATGAAAAATTTTTTAGTTCACCAATTCACAATTATCTTGTCGTTGTCCTGTATGGAATAAAAGTCCAAAGTCTTCGATATATTGTCTAGTTGAACCACCAAATCTGGGTATTTAGTATCAGCATATGAGATATGAGGCATATTTAATAATTCTAAGTTAAAATGCTTAACAATCAATCCCTGCAAAGTTTGAACAGTTATTACACGAGGTACTTTTTTCTCCCACATTTCTCCAGTTTTCTTATTTTCAATTCGTAATTTTATTAAATTGGATTTTTTTGCATTAACGATCGGTATAAACGCTGCAGCCGAGCCATATTCTTTGAATACAAAAAAAATTACATAGAGTATGCAATAGCACAATAAGTATATCGAATAACAATGTATACGTATAGGTGCATATTTAATTGTATACTTTATAAGAATTGTGTACTTACTTTTAATTAAAATTTCGTACGAGCGATGCTTTTTGTAAAATTCATGAAGTGTCTCATTAGATTTGCTAGCTTGAACCCACTCTACAGCATATTTTTTCCAAGTATCATATTCTGCACCCCGCCTTTCCTTCGGGTCTATTTTTACTTTATTTAAAACATCCAAATTCATGATCATACTAACCGCTTTCGAAAACATTTCATCAAAGCTAGACTTTAAGTGCGGAGTCTTACTGAGTTGACGAAGTTTTGGTAATTTGTCCAATTCATTAAAAGCATCAGCCTTAGCAATTATATAAATTTTAATTAATATTTATTTATATTTTAGTATACTTTATGACATACCTCATTCCATATAGGATTATTAAATAAATTTATATTTTCTAATTCCAAAAATATATTTAACTTCTCGTTTGATTCACAATCTGGTAACTTAATTTCTTCAATTGCATTGTTCATTATATTCAAACACCGTAATGTCGTAATGTTGCCTAATTTACAAATTTGTTTAAAATCCACTAGCTTAGTGCAATGTAAATCCAATTCTCTGCAATTATATAATTATATATATGTAGTAATATTAATAAGCTGTTTTAATTTATATTTATTTACCTTAAATTTTTGAATATGTTTTTGCAATTGACTTCACTAAGTTCAGATATGGGATTCTCTTGCAAACTAAGTGATTGAATTTGGGGCCATAATTTCGCTACATGTAGAACATCAACCCAATTAAGACCACAGTTTCGCAGATTTATGTGCTTTAGATTTCGAAAAGCAGGCTCCAAATCATTAATTTGTTCATTCCTCGGCAATTGTAAATAGTTAGAGCTAAAAAGAAAAATTACTTCAGTATTAATTGTCTGCATTCATTTAGATATTTTATAAAATAATTTCGATAATTTGTAATTTATAAAAAATTTTATATTATACCTTAAATTCAAATTTCTTAATGTTGATATTTGAGCAACAATGTCTGCGACAGTCTCCCAATTCCAGATAAGTGTGCGACTTAAATTTAAAGTAGTCAACGAAGTAAAATCTTTCAAACACCCAGGAGAGTTTATAGGAGAGTCGTCTACACTTATATCTGTAAGTTCCTCAAATTTACTCTGCTTGCGCGCAATTTTTTCCATACCAACAATTTCAAATAATGAAGCATTCAAAGATTGTTGAGCTTCACGTATTAAATTTTGATCCAGACTGTGTGATGTGTAGCCTAAATAGCGTTCACGAGCAGCTTGTTCAAGTGTCTCGAATGGTCCAACTTTAGCGGGTCGCACAAAGCTACCCGCAGTTGGGTGTTGAGTTTGGAAATAATGTTTATTTTGGACACATCCACTATGCTTACCACGATTGAAATCATCCCACTCAATACCCAACCACGTACCAGTCTGGCCGATGACCTATAACAAAAACAATCACAGTATATACAATCCAAGCATATGCTACATTTAAGGCTTACCTCTCCCACATATTTAACGGTACCACAGTTATTTCCGATTTTTATTCTAGAACCAATTGGAAATTTTATTTGGGCCTCATCAATTATGCCTACCATTTTTTTTTATTAAATTTAATCCAACAATTTGACAAATAGTCTTTGTGAAACTTTAACTTGCAAAATAATTACAAAAAAATATTTAATAATGATAAAATGACCACGCTTTCAAAAATATTTTTCTTTAATTTAAAATAATAGTTTTCCAAGGAGATGCTTTTAATTTTTCATTATTAATAAACAGCACAATTTGTGTATTTTGATAATAAGAAAAATATTACTAATACAGAATATTCACAATAGCATTCACGATGACATAAAAATGACACCATTCGTTAATATGGAGGAACTGCCATAAATAATATTTTAATATTTTGAAATTTATTAAGAACTTAATAAGCCATTTCATATTTTTTATTTAACATTCTAAACTAGTGTTGAATTGGTAATATAATAAAGGCTACAAATAATTTTGTTTGAATGTCAATATTTAACACAGAAAATTATGTATAATAAAACCTGCTGCCTCGAATTATGCGTTGTCAAACTGAATTACACGTAATTTTTCGGGAGTAATTTCAAAAATTAAAGTAAGTTTTCGATGAATCACAAAGTATTTTAGCACGAGTTTAGCTTTTTAAATAAGAATCAATAAAAAGTTTATTAGTAATGATTGATTGTTGTAAAAAAATTGTAAGCAAATTTGGTGCTCATAGTTCAATACCGTTTGAAAGCAATTAAACCATTTCAAACTACTACTACTACTATTAATATATTTCGCTTCACTTTGTATAGTATATTGAAGTATATTAATTAACTTTCGCAATTCACTCGCAAATTAATAACAATTATTTGCATATAATGGTTCTTAATTAGCAAGTTTTGCAATTATCTCTAATTTTATATTAATTACCATTTAATTTTCAATAATTTAATCTTATTTAATTTAATTTTCATTTAATTTTTATAATAATTTATGAACGGATGCAGGTTAAGGACGCAACTGCTCCTCTTCTCTTTAAAACTCTGGCTTCAAATGTATTTTCTATATCTGTCACCACTAAGTTGGTTGAGTTGCACCCCTGATTAGCATTGGTACGGGTCTGATCTAATCTCTGCATAGCCTCCTTATTGTAGATGCTATGAGGCTACATTTTACGGAAATAGTGCAAAGAAGAATTTCAAAGAAACATTAATTCCAAACAAATGCAACATTGCAAATTATCGAAATTTGACATATTTAACGAATGAAACAAAATGTAAACATACACAACTAAAACATATCAAAACAAACAAGAGGTAAGAATTTTTTAAAATATTTTTCTTTATAAATAATATATATAATTGATATATTAAGTCATTCATATATGTATATATACATATTTTTCATATACATACAACATATTTAATTAATAAAAACATGGATTTTATTGAATACTTACTTCTCAGTGTGTTTGTTTAAAGCTCAGCTGTTGTTTGTTGACATTTTACATGTTTATTTGTTAAACATGTAAATCTTTAGCCCCAAAATTACAAAAGTCTTTCTGCTTTTTAATCATTATTATTTTTTGCGTTTTCTTTTGTTTTGTTAATCTTATCGAAATACACAGAATTTTATCTATGCAAAAATCAATAAATTTATTGTTGCGTACAGTATAAAGATATTTCCTATAATTATTCGATGCAAAGAATATAAATGTCAGTAAAGAGTTTTTAATAAGCCGTATCGCGACTAGTCCTCATATTATATGATAGTCTTGACAGTATTTATTATACCTTTTGATTACAACGAAAGTGGGTGCAGAGCTATATCTCAGATTGGTAGTTCATATAAAATGGATCATTTGTGGAAGCGTGAACTAGTGATGGCTTTAATAAAAGAGTGGCGCCAACATGATAACTTGTATAACATTTCAAATCACAATTATACTCGCAAATATATTCGCAATCGTTCAATTAAAGCAATTTATAATGTTCTAAAAAAATCACAGGCGAAAATCACAATTGAAATGATTAAAAAGAAGATGCATACTCTGCGTACTCAATTTTGTAAGGAGCGGAAACTGTACATAGACTTTAAAAGTAGAAATACTTCATACGAAGAGTATGAGCCAAAATTATGGTGTTACGATTATTTAACTTTTTTGAAACCTTTTGCATGTGATACTGCAAAGGTATGTAACTAATTTAATAATATTGTCAATAAATACCCACATATCTGCCGTCATTTGTATTTCAGGCTTCAAATTTTATAGCTGACGATCACTCAATGTTTGAATATGAAAGTTCTGATGCCTCTCAACCGAGCAATGAGATAGTAAAATCAACGGTATGGCTACTTTAAATGTATTTTATATCTATTGCTATTATATTTTGTTTTTGAAAAACTTTAGGATGATAATAATGTTCAATTATCTGAAAGTAATACAAACGAAATCTCGATTAAAATCGAATCGGATGTAAATATTAATATACACTTTCATACCGAATTCTATGTTTTTAACTTGCTCGTATTTTAGAATGATATGCCGACAGATACTGAAGCTAATTATCAAGATGATAATGACTATCAAAGTGAAAAAGCAGAACCCAGTTTTAAAAGTAAAAGTTTAACAGCACCTAAGAAAACTTCAAATTGTATTAACAAACCTCAGCCTAAAGTGAACTACGTACGTATGCCATTTCAAATTATTACAATTTTAATAAAAATTTATGTATAAAACTTATTGTATTTCTGTTTTAACAATGTAATATTTTAGAATTCAATTGCAACTACTATACAAAAAATTAAAACAGAACTTCTGCACTTAGCTGATGACAAATATACCTGGCTTGGGGAGCATGTTGTGAACGAGATCTGTAAAATTGAAGATGAGTCTATTTTGGAGGATTGCATTAGTAATATACAATTAATTTTAAAAAATAGCCTTGCAAAAAGCAAAGAAGTTACTGAGGAAATTGATCCGTTTGGAAATGATATGAAGTAGCTTTCTTGATTTCACAGACGTATATATATCATAGTTCAGAGCTTCTACTAATAAATTTGTTATAATAATAAATTGCATAAGAATTAAAACTGCATTTTCTACATTTGTAACTAGAATCTTTTCTACGCAAGAATCTTATGTAATTATATATAAGAGAATTAAATAAAAATATAAAAAATACATTCCTTTTCCATCCAGTATTTTTAGGACAACTTTCTTATATCGTCTACCTAAATGTGCCTCATATCACGTTTCCACCAAATATCACAAATGAAATATAAACAAACAAAAGCTCTCCTAGAACTTTGAAAGAATTTTTTTTCACATAAAAACTCACATGCATACATCATAGTAAATGAATCTTAATTTCATTAACATACTATAAGTTGTTTTAACTGCAATAGAAACATGATATCAGGATGTCATTGTGAATACATTTTTCTGAATAGATAAAAGTTGCAAGTTGCTTAATCTTACCGAAGTTTATTGTGTGTTTAGTAAGGCGTTTAAATACCGTGTTTTAATTTTAAAGTTAAGATATATAAAATTAAAATAAAATTTTTTCTTAATTAAATTTTTCTGTTTCACATCATTTTTATTTAATCGAATATCGAAAAAATTATAAGATATGCTGATGTCTCGGTAATTCGTTAACTTGGTAACTTGATATTTTATCACCGAGTAGCCTGAATACTCAGAAATATATAAATATTTTTATTTTTTTTTATTTATTATTTACTTTCTTTAAATTTTATTAATTGTTTAAAATTTATAAATTTGTTTAATAATGATTTTGTGCATAATTATAACTAAAATTTGTTAAATTATTGTTATATAATTATTTATTAAATTTATATTACAATTTTTTAGTACAAAATTGTAATTAAATTATTAATTTACAGAAATTTAAAAAACACACGAAACAAATACAACAAGAGAAACGTCAAAATTAATCTCCGATGTATAATGTAAACGGTAGAGATATAAAATGCAGATTAATTTAATCTCCTTCCGTTAATCTAACAATGTAAACCTATTATAACTTTACTAGTGTCTTTTTGAAACTCGTTCGAACAGATCAATTGTACAGTAACACGAAAATTAGAAGTGCTACATCTACTACATCAACTTTGCAATTTCATATTTCAAGAAAAAAAAATACAAATAAATCTTAGTTCAGCTGATTTTAGTGACATTTAATTTTAAATTATATTGCTATTATATTGTGATATTTTATTATTGTGATGAAAAGTGTTGTATACGTGAATAAATAATATTTTTTTACACATAATATTATGTAGAATGTAAAAAATAAATTCAATTAATATGCTTGTGTTAGCAACACTAAAATTAATTGTAACTTCAAGATTTACGTTTGCATGAAAATAAGGGAAGTCCCAGTTTAAAATTTTATTTCGTGTTATACACACGTATACTTAGTTCAATATCGCCACGTAAGCATCAAAGTTTATATCAGTTTGTCACGAACATTGTTTGGTTGTGTCACGTAAAATATGTTGGTCCTGTTAATTTAACAAACTAAATATAAGTAATGTCACTTAAAGAGGTAAAAATGCTAATATTTGTGTCATCTAGAATATATATCTGTTTAAAATCTAAAGGTTTTCACGGCACGGCCGTATCAATTGGAAATATTGGAAAATATTGTGAAAGAAAATGGAATTGTATATTTACCAACTGGAGGAGGAAAAACATACATTGCTGTACTCGCAATACAACGTTTTTCGAAAGCATTGCAGAAGTAAGTAATTTGGTTTTGATTTTTTATTAAATTGCAATATTACAAAAAAAAAAATTAATAAAAACATGTTATGGATAATAACAATAATTTGCAAAAAATAATGTCGATTTTCTACAACCTTTAACCTCTACGATGTGCTATAACGCTATTTGACATATATATTGTTCGTTTATTCATGAATATATATATATAGATATATATTATTGTCTGTTTTGCGAATTAGCCATTTTGTTTTTAATTATTTGTTTAAGAACAATTAAAGTTCGTAGGACATTTTCCTATTTTACAAAATGAAAATAGATGTACGATTATTATTAGAACTAATTGATGCATTTTAGATTATAGCAATTGTATGTATCACACATTTTTCATTTTTTGTGTAAAGAAAAACAGGCTTTACTTTATAACAAATGATTAAGGTGGAAAATTCGTAAAAATCACTCTGACGCAATTCTAATGACAATTAATGCAATTGCACATAAAGAGTTGACAATAATAGAAAGTTGCCAATAATAGCGATAAACAAAAATTTTAATAGAGATTTATGTACTGGTATATGTGTTTAGCTCAAAACGAATATTATTTTGAAGTAGACATTTTCAAAGACACCTTACCCTGTGTTAATACATTTTTGTTAAGAAACTTTCCAAAAATTTAATTTTGATCACTATATCTTTTGAACCAATTCAAAGACAAGAACTTGCTTGCTACAAAACTTGTAGCGATTTAAGAATCTTTAATAGGCAATTAAAGGTATTTGTACTGAAATATATTGGTACAAATCAATAAAAAATCAATCAATTCAATACAACACACTATCTATCTCTCTATGTATATATATTAGAAAAGTTGAAGATGGTGGTAAACGTATCATATTTATGTGCAACACTGTCGAATTGGTGCTGCAACAAGCTATTGAACTTAAAAAACGTACTAATTTAAACATTGGTGTGTACGTTGGAACACGTCAGATAGACAACTGGTCTAATACTGATTGGACTTTAGAAATTGCTGAACATCAGGTAAACATATTTTTTACGTATATTTTATGTGTAAATTATAAATATACTTTTTTTAGGTTTTAGTCGGAACTGCTCAAGTTTTTTTAGATGCAGTTATGAAAGCCTATATACGAATTAAAGATTTAAGTCTTGTAATCATAGATGAATGTCATCACGCAACTAAAGCGCATCCTATGCACGAATTTATGAAACTTTATTCTGCAGAAGATAAACAGAATAAGCCAAGAGTTGTAGGACTTAGCGGTGTTTTACTTAAAGGGAATAAGATGAAAGATGCTTTAAAGGACATAATTGAGTTAGAACAAGTAATGCATGGTAATATTATAACTGTGAAAAGCTATAAGGATTACCAAAATGTTTTATTGTAAGTAATTTTTAAATATTTGCTTGAAATTATAATTACATATAATTGTAAATTAAATGGATTTAACAGGTACTCAGCTGTGCCATTAGAAAAGATGGTATCGTATAATTCTGCTAGTACTACAAATCAAATAAATGATGAAATAAGAAACGAAATCGAGTGCCTCAGTAATTTTATAGACTCTTGGGATATTGGAGAACAGCCAATAAAATTGTCTAAAGGCTTACTAAAAGAAAAATCGCCGAGTAAGAAAAAATTTTGTAAAAATCTACTGCAAGATTTTTTATTTCAAATGGATAACTTTGGATTATATGGGGCATCAGTGGCAATCCTGTCTACAATTTTAGAATTTGAGATTAAAAAGAAGACTTCCGATACAATACAACTTAAAACATTGTTTCATATATTAGTAAACAAATGTGAATACATATTGCATTTTATTGAGAGTAAAATCCATGCCTTTTTGAAGGTCAAAAATTTACCTGCTACTTCGATGCATTCGGATGAAGTCATAATGCATTTTGCATCATCTAAGTTGATTTCATTACTGAATTATGTAAAATCAACTTTTGGCAATAAGAATTTTGAAGATATTTCCTGCTTATTATTCGTACAAAGACGATTTAGTGCTAAATGTTTGAGTTATATACTTCGTGACTATGTAAAATCTCGACCCTTTTTAAATAATGTAATAAAAACAGACTTTATGATTGGTAATAGTGCCATAATGTGTGGAGTTGAAAATACACTCGAATCAAAGTGGAACAAAAAGGTTAACATGAATTTTGTCAATATTTTATATACAATAAACTTTATATAAACATTTACATACCTAAATTAAGCTTAGTTATATCAAATCATGATATTGTTTTATGAATATAGATGCAACATAGCATAATATAGTTAAATTATCATATATGTTGATTTGCACCCATGGCTTACTTAAAAACAAAATTATTTCGTTAGAATATTGGATGAGGTCAAAGATCTGTGTAAAATTTCAAATAATTCTAATACAAAAATATCAATCATACTCATTTAATATTTTGGCATTATTATTAAAGTTATCGATGCTAAATACAATATATTCAATTTACCTTAAAATTCAATTCATATTTAACTAATATACGTTTTTTTATATATTTCTTTATAGGTAATGGAACGTTTTCGCAACAAGGAATTTAACGTGCTCGTCTGCTCAAATGTTTTGGAAGAGGGCATCGATGTACAAACTTGTAACTATGTGCTAGTATTTGACCCGCTACAAACATTTAATTCATATATTCAAACGAAAGGACGAGCTCGTAGTAACGGTTCGACATATGTTGTTTTTTGCTCTGAAGATAAGCAAACAGCAACATTGAAAAAAATTGCTGTTTATCGTGAGGTTCACGAAAAGCTAAAAAACTATCTTATAAATCGGACTGTTGATTTTAATCTTAATGAAGAATTCATTGAAAAACATTTTAATGAAATCATACCGCCACTCGTAGCACCAAATGGCGCAATGTTACTGGCATCAGCAGCCATAAGCCATGTTTATAGATATTGTCAGTCATTGCCCTCAGATATGTTTACAATTTTAGTGCCGATGTTTGAAAAGTTGCCACAAACAAATAACGGCGATAATATCGTAGCAATTACTTTACCAACATCATCAACTGTAAAGGAAAAAATATATGTAGGTATGAAAAATATCCGATCAATTACAAATATTTAACTTTAATTATAGAGCGATCCGATGGCAGATGTTAAACTAGCTAAAACATCAGCTGCCATCAAAGCTTGTAAACTTCTGCTTGAAAATGGGGAATTAAATGACAAATTTTTGCCATTGACTAAGAATGAATGTGTTTCAAACATCAGCCAACATTTCTTTGAACATTGGAAGAAATTTAATGACAACGGTACGTATTATAAAAATAATTGCATTAAAAAGTACTTTAGAAAAATTTTGTGGATTTATTAATCTTTTCTCTTTGCATTTTTGGTGCTGTTAGCTTTCACTTTGATTTTTGCTTATTTTAATGTATATACATCTATGCGCGCGAAAGTGAAATAAGTGAAGGGATTTCTTTGTAATTGATATGATTTTAATTAATTAGGCAAAACCACTGCAAGATGATGTTTTCAATAAATAACTTAATTAAATTAGTAAATAATGTCAAGGGATTTTTTTTAATCTAATAATCTTCTTTAATATTTTTTTTTTAATCTTTTCCCTTTGAAGCAAAATACAACCTTTTGCTAACACAAAGGTTCAACTCATTGTTTTTTTTTTTGCTGTAGGTGGAAAGCAACGACCCCTATTCCAGTAATCAAGAGTAGGAGTGCAGGAGGGCTTAGTATTTAGCAAGCTGAATTAATCAAAGCCGAATGTGGACGTATTTAGTTAGGAGGGTTGGTATTATTGATGATGGGGATGGGGTTTACGCAAAATCGCGAAGGGGTCTGGTTTTGAAGAAACTCTACACTCAGAATCACGAAAACCACGATTGTAGAATGGAATAAGTGGAGGAAGGGCAAGCTATTCCTCAAGATAGCACTCACTTTATTCTGTATAATTTCGTTACTTAAATACTAAATCTTACATACTAAAAACAGTTGAAAAATAGTTTGGGTTTTTATCTTTTTGTATAACACGACTTTGTCGCCATTTATTTAATTCCCTGTAATTGCTTTTGTGTGCACAACTCCGTGTTTTTGAAATATTTTATTTCATGGAAAAAACCCCTCCTTTCATAGTATTAGGTCTGTTCTACGAGCTACTCGTAGTAAAACACAAGTAAAGTACAAACTGAGATCGTAACACAAATAAAGTGGCAAATTACGCACTTTACACAGATTTGCATGGAACAGGTTTTATTTTCGAAGTCCTGTGTAATCCATTTTTGAACACCGTCCGCGTCACTTAACACTATTACCCGTTTAGACAGCATAAAGTATATATTTCATTTTTAAATATATTCTATCAAAATAGGTTATAGAAAATAATATAGATGAAATCTATAACTGTTTAGGCAAGTTACAGATAAAAGATTGTTTGTAACAATGTTTAGAGAGCAGTCAATTAAAAGTTCATTTAAATATTAGAAGAAAAAAAAGAAATAATATTAATTTTAAGACTTTTCTGATATTTTTAGTTAATTCCAAATTGGTTGGCAAACAAAACAAACGTGTTTACGATCGCATTAGTCCTGATGAGTTATATAATGCAATGCCTACAGTTGGTGAAAAATGTTACGCGTATGAGATTGTAATTAAACCGGACCCTAATGATAAATTTGACCATAAGAATTATCGTGTACCATTACTAAACAGCAGGAACAATTATGCTCTATTATTGAAAAATCGCTTACCACGCTTAGCTGACATGCCATTGTTTACGAACCAAGGTCGGCTCATATGTGAGTTATCAAATGAACCGTTGGAATTCACAATTGGAAATGAAAAGGAACTGGAATTATTACGTAATTTCCATGTGACGATATTTCGGGATATAATTATAAAAAAACGCTATTGGAAATCGTTCATGGCAATGGATCGGCGTAATAAAGAAAATGCTTATCTAATAGTTCCTCTTAGCGAAAAGATTATCAACTGGAGTCTGGTAAAAAAATTTCAACGTTTAAGTAGTCCACGACCGCTCAATATCCACGAGCGAAAACAACAAGTTTATCATCCGAAAGATTTTATAGGAAGTGTTGTATCGAAATGGTATGCAGAGGATGATGAGCAAAAATATCTTGTTATAAATGTGCTAGAAAATATGAATCCTTTAAGTCCCTTTGATCTGAAAAATAATAGTATTTATAATAATTACGTTGAGTTTTATGAAAATAAATACAAGAATAGAATTGAGAGTATAGTAAATAAAAATCAATTTTTGTTAGAAGTTAAGCCACTCACTTCTCGTCGAAATTTTTATATTAGCCAAGTTGGAAAAAATTATAAAAATAAAAAAGAGCAGATGGAAGTTTTGATACCGGAATTATGCCATAATTATAAATTTCCCAATGAGTTATGTCTAAAGGCTGTATTTTTGCCAAGTATAATACAGCGCTTACATTTTATGTTACATGCTGAACATATTCGAGTACGAATTGATAATTTTTTACTAAAACGAACAAATTCAGTCCGTAATCTGAGCAGAGAATACCGGCCTAAACCGCTAATAATTGATTATTCGTTGCGTAGGAATGTAGATCCTGATGGCAATGCAATAGAAATGGAGGAGGTGAGATGGATAGTAGAATTAAAAAAAAACAAATTTAATAAAATTTTCTTTTACAGAGATTTCCGAAACAAGTTCTGACATTAGAAGCCAAATCAAGTGGTACTTTGAAGTATAATGAAACATTTCATGAAGATCAAACATCTTGGAATGAGTATATTGAGCCAATTGATAAAGATCGTTCCTTATCTGACATTTATCCTATAGAAATTAGTTACTATAGCCACTTCATTAGATCGGACACTATATCCTCTAATTCTGTTAAATACTGGGAGGAAATGTACAACAAATCTCAATTAAAAATGCCAGTTTTAAAAACATCTGATATTGGCCCGAAATTTCAGACCAATCCTTCAATTTGTGATGCTGGAATAGAAGATAAATGTTTCATTAGTATATTGGAACGTTCCTTTGACAATATGTCCGATATTATTGTCGAGCAGTACGAATTTGTAGCTGCTCTTACAACATCTGGTGCATCTGAAATTTACGATATGGAGCGGTTCGAGTTATTGGGTGATTCGTTTTTAAAGTTTTCGATTTCACTCTTTTTGATAAAACAATTTCCGCAATGGCACGAAGGTTTTTTAACTGCGGTGAAATCTAAATTCGTTTCAAATCGTAATTTGGTATATTGTATGTTACAAACTGATATTCCAAAACGGATTAATTCCAAATTACTTGACTTGGACGAGTGGCTACCGCCATTGTTAAGTCTTCCAGAAAATCTTTTGGAATTTCTACACAAAAGAATTAATGCTTGCAAAGGAATCGAAAACTCAAGTATTTATGGGATTGAATTGAGTGATGAAGAATTTGATACCAGCATATGTTCCGAATATAAACTAGATGAGCTCAAAAAATTTTATTGTCAAGAAGAAGAAAAACTTGAAAACTGTCTTAGTTTAGATAATGACATTAATTCGTATGTGTATAAAGATGTAATGCGTGATAAAGTTGTAGCTGATACTTTGGAGGCATTACTTGGAGTTTGTGTCAAAAACTATGGTATTCACAAATCCTTTAATATGCTAGAGTTTTTTGGTATTATTAAGCCTGCTCCAAATATGCATTTGTCGGATTTATTGGAATTAAATTTAGTTAGCCCATTGCTGCGTACAAATATATCGTCAAGGGAAGTGGACGCATTTTTAATTAATTATCAGGATTTGGAATACAATCTTGGTTATAAATTTAAGGATCGTGCATTTTTATTGCAAGCACTTACACATCCTTCGTATCCAACTAATCGTATAACTGGCAACTACCAAGAACTAGAATTTATTGGTGATGCGCTTTTAGATTTTTTAGTATCCTGCTACATATTTGAACGCAATACAAATATGACACCTGGCATGCTGACCGATTTAAGATCAGCATTAGTCAACAATATAACTTTGGGTTGTGTTTGTGAACGCCACAGATTTCATTTGTTTATAAAATATGAAAATCAGGCTTTGAGCGAAGCGATTGTGAGATTTGCCAATTATCAAGAGAGCCAAAATCATTCTATAACTAATCAACTAAGAATATTATTAGAAGAAGAAGATGTAGTTGATGATGAATGCACTGGCGTTACAAAAATGAATCTATCTGAAAAAATTGAAGTACCCAAAGCTTTAGGTGATGTTGTAGAAGCGCTAATAGCTGCTGTATACTTTGATAGCCGTGATTTGAAACAAACGTGGCATGTAATATACCGATTACTTCAGAAAGAGATAAACGAGTTTGCAAATAACACACCGTTGGATCCAGTACGAGAATTACTTGAAAAGCAAGTTAATGCTACATTTAGTAAAGCAATTACTGATAAGAATGTAGTTATGGTATCATGTGAGTTTACTTGCTTAAGGCGTAAGGTGGAAGTTTGTGGTTTCGCTAGTAATTCTCAGCAAGCCAAAAAAGCAGCTGCGAAGCATGCGCTGCAATATCTATGCAAACATTCTAATTAATAAATGCTTTCTGTGCTATTTTTTGTCTTTAGTATATAAAAACAAACACGAATAATTACCATTTTTACATTTTTACCATATTTATTACAGGAATCTCATTACTGTAATAAAACACAACAATATGTTTTTATTTTTAAATAAATATATAAATAAAATATATATATATATATTTTGAAAAATATAGTTTTTTATTTGTTATATATATTTTTAAAATGTAGGAAAACAACATTACATATATCTATATACTTACACATAAATATCACTGTATAATGAATACTTTGCATTTTGTTCAAAGATAAAAGTAAGTGTTTTACAAAATACAGTGAAACATAATTTCACTGTTAAATTCGATTTTTAGAATATCAAATATTGTTTATAATTTGTTATGTTCTTATGGCAATATAAGTTTTCGTATTTCTATAAAGCTTCCTTGTGCTTAAATTATTCAATCGAAATAATGTATAACTTTAGCGTAATTATTAATTTAAATTGTATAAAAGTAATTCTTAAATTAAATGGTCCCTGCATTACTGCAGTATAATTAATATATTCTCTTATGTTTTTACGAGTGATATATAAAACTAGTATAACTTTTGCGATATAAATAAAGTAAATGGAAAAGTTTATTCAAACTTATAACTATGTATCCAGTTCTGTTGAATTCGAACAAATAATTTGCAGTACAACGTGGTGATCACCAGTCCTCGTAAGGCTATAATATAAAAAAAGTTTTTTAAATCACTCTTAAAATATTTATATATTAAAATATTGATTTCATTATCGGTATTTTTTAGAGAAGACAGAAATCAGTAAATGTAAATGAACTGTCATTCTTGTAATCTTTCAACTTATAAGTGCCAATATATATATATATATATAAATCCATTCATTACGATGTTTCAAGAATTATCAAATTTTAAAAATTCTATAAATTGTGATTTATATACTAAATGTCTTAAGTTAACAACTACAAACTTAAATCAATATATATACAATTACTTACGTCATCTTCAGACATATCGGCAACATCTACGTGTACTTTCTTTTCTGCAATTCTAATCGAACGTCGTAACTTTGGAAAAACGCTCATTTTATTTAGCGTTATATCACGTTTGTATGCATTTAAATTTACATGAAAATCCCACTGCAAAATTTTTAAATATATTATACATATGCACTATATATGGTAGATGATTATATGTAAAATTTACCGAGCCAGAAATTATTTCAGGACGTACAGGATGCCAAGATAGATCTCTAACTACGTCCCAATGACCTTCAATCGCTTCTTTTATGTTCCCAGTGAGCAGGTCATATACTTAAAAATTTATAAGTTATATTTTTTAATTTTTTGTATATAATTTAGGTGCTCATTTACCAATAATTCTGCCTGTGCTGCAGCCAGTATATATATAGCGTTGTCCAGTCTGCAATAACGGAGAAAATTTAGCTCGTAATAAAGTTTTTGTAACACGATGTCCGCGATACGTCATTAAACTAACATCTCCTTCACGTGGTTTACAGTTGTACACTAAAAACAACTTTATTATATTTAAATATTATACATGAAATTTCTTTTTTACATTCTCGTGGAACAGAATCCCACCGATAGTCCCAACAGAATACTGGTAAATGAAAATTCTTCTTTATTTTACTTTTGTTAGTACTTTTACGCAAGTCCCAGAGTTTAATACTTTGATCTTTTGAGTTACTTAGCACGTGTCTTCCGTCATTACGAGAATCGATATAAGTAATACCATCTAAATGTCCATAAAATGTACAAACGGATCCATCCCTTTTATTGTTACGAACAGTTCTCATATCCCAAAGTTTCAGTAGACCATGATTACTGCCTGTTAACAATAAGTTTGGATTCAGCTCGTCTACATAACTAATGGCATTAATATGTACAAAAGAGGGATGGTCAGCTTGTATATATGTTATTGTATCGGTCTCACGATCGCATAAGTATACACGTGCATTAGAGCAACCACCAACCAATTTTTTTCCATCTGGTGAAAAACGTAACGAAAACACTCCAAAACGAGTTTCATTAACATTTAAATCGATCATTTTAAGATCATCAGGTGAGCCATTTATTGGTAAAACGCAAACTTAGAAAAGAAACGTTTAATTTAGCAAGAATGACAGTAGCAACATACAGTAATTACTTACATAAATCCGACCAGGTGGAGTAAGCTACATATCCGCCACATGAACTTATGTCCAAATCCACAATATGCAAGTTAATGAAATTAGCTTTCATTTTATTAACACGGTGATAAGTTCCCTTTGATGCATCAAATATTCTTATAAAATGATCTAATCGATTTATATATGAATATTATTACATCTTTTAATACTCGTCATCTCTTAATATCCTTACCATTACAAACTGTAACAAGTCGACTACCATCCTTGTTAAAAGTACACACTTGCACTTTATTTTCAAAGGACATCAGTTTTTTAATTTTTTTATTTGGAATAAATAAAGTCGCAATACGGCGTTGATCATTGGCCGAAAAGGCACCAAATGGTCGGCCTTTGAGACCCATTTCACGTTGTTCAATCGCCCGATTCAATGACCATTTTGAGCTGGGCAATTTACTATTTGCCGGTAAACCGCACATAGCCTTAACTTCTTTATAAATATCGGAATTCTAAAATTTTTAAGTTTAGTATAAAATATTATACTATGAATGTAAAAATAATTCAATTTACACGTAAATGAGTTAGGCAAGGTTTTTTGCGAATTTTCGGCATTGTATGATTACGGGGAGCTGTGTCAAAGAAAATATTCCTTAAAAAACCCAAACGATCATGGAGCTCCCAATTCATATCAATATCATCTAGTGGAACGTTAATTTCGTTTTGACTAACTTCATACGCTATATTTCCCATTTTTGCGTTATTATAAAGATGCACATAACTTGAATAATAAACAATATTTTGATTATTTTGTTAAAAGGTAATATATTCGTCCTTGCAAACATCCACAAAACTCCAAATAACGGCACCAGGAACGCTTACTTTGGTAACTAAAAATCTTTGTTTTTGACATATTTCAATATGCCATAACGTAATAGACTAGACAATATCATTCAAATTATATGTTAAAGGTTTTTGTATGATAGACGTATTAGGCTATGGTTACATTGCATGCCAATATTGTCTTGCATGTTCGTACATATGTTTTCTCGTGCGAACACATCGCATGTTGCGGTTACATTACTTGCGAATTTACAGTTTGTTTTGAAAAGAAACTGTACAGTGAAGTTCTAAAGTATTGTATTTAGCGAAAAATTCGTTATGAAATTATTTATTTTAAACAACAAAAGAAGAATATCATATTCTTTACGCTTTATTTTTATTCATTACGGCATAAAAATAGAAAGCTTGCCAGATCTTTTGGCGAATTATACCAATGTGAACAAAAGTTTTTTGAATTCCGTCAGGATAAAAAAGGCAATATTCCATTATATTCTGAATGTATTCCATCTAAACTTATCAAGAATTTTAACTTTCGAGAGTGCATTTCTCCAGAGGATAATTCTTACAATACGGTAAGTGCTTACAATACAGTACGTGAGAAATTTCTAGCATACTTCAGCAATTTCAACTTATTTTAATTATATTTTACTAATATTTTTTTTTTAATATTCTATTATTCATTTATAGCAAATTTTTATTTTAAGAAAATTAACTTACTTATGTACTTATGTTGAGACTTTTCCGAGTTAGTGCATTTGGGCACTTTTACTCTATGATGGCTGGGGATTTCTGCAGAGTCCCACCCATCTCATTGACTAATTTGATACATGCGTAATTTAATACCATACCCGTTCAAAGAAGAACACGAACCCAAAACCACATCTTAACATAGTAATACAAAATGGACCGTAAAGCAAAAACCCTCTCCAGTAGTCAAGGGTAGGCAAACAGAGGGATACAGAAGGCTTAACTTTTAACTACCAAATATATTTGAGCCAAAATTGAAATTAAGTGAGGTAAGAAAGAAACTGTTGTAAGGTAGTAATTTTTCACCAGAAGTAAACTTTGTGTAAAGGGTTATCGTTAGTACGACTGTAGAGCGAGAATATAACACGAATACTGACGATGTCGTTCAGATAATTTTAATCGAACAAACTATCGATACATTCTGAGCAGAAAACCATTTTTAATTCAATAAATTTCTTCTCTCAATCTTCGAAAAATTTAAAAATTAAATTTCCTTTTAAAGTCAATTTAAATCGAAGTAAACTTTGTGCAAAGGGTTATCGTTAGTACGACTGTAGAGCGAGAATATAACACGGATACTGACGATGTCGTCCAGAATAATTTTAATCGAACAAACTATCGATACATTCTGAGCAGAAAACCATTTTTAATTCAGTAAATTTCTTCTCTCAATCTTCGAAAATTTTAAAAATTAAATTTCCTTTTAAAGTCAAATCAAATCGACTGAAGAAATATCACAATACTATGAAATTACACAGCGTGTTAATTTAAAGAAACTTTATTACTTTAATTCGAATATAAAATATTTTCTTACTTTTTAAATTTATAGTTATTTACTGTTTTTTTAAATAGAGAATTTCAATATACATTCACATTTATAACATGTTTTTTTAAGCGCGAATATAATACAGATAATAAAAAAATTATGGGCAGATAAGATCATGATTTATTAACGTAATTACGTCCAGCGTTAATTGTATTTTCAGCACAATTCAATAAAACGCTAAACTTTTTGTTTTATTCTATTCAGATGACATTTGGAGACTTTCATAAAACGAATGTCAGTTGTGTGATGTAGAAGAAGTAATAATAACAAAGAAGTCTACAAATTTGTCATTCGACGAAAAGAAAAAGAAATATAAAGGTACGATTGATTGTAAAAGTTACTTATAAATTTTTATTTAATCTTTTATTCTTGTTTCTGTGTTTGTACCTATGAGAAAGAATTATATTTTTTATATTAATTTTTAAGCAAAAGCAAGTTCAGTCATAGATTGAAAATTCTAATATCGAATAATGTCGGAAACTTATGGTATAGTATTGCAAGAAACAAGTTTATAGTTTCATTATATATTTAAGATATTTTCAGATTACTTGTTTAAGTTTTTGATTATTGGTAGTGCTGGTAGCGGAAAAAGTTGTTTACTTCATCACTTTATTGAAAATAAATGTAAGTACAATTGAAGAAGACGCACAGGCTTATTTTTATTTACTGAAAATTATTTCAATATTGAACAGTTAAGGACGACAGTTCTCATACGATTGGCGTAGAATTTGGCTCTCGTATTGTAAGCGTAGGTGGAAAGTCTGTTAAATTGCAAATATGGGATACAGCTGGTCAAGAACGTTTTCGATCGGTGACGCGCTCTTATTATCGCGGTGCAGCTGGAGCTTTACTCGTCTATGATACATCGTCAAGGGACTCGTTCAACGCGTTGACTAATTGGTTAAATGATGCACGCACATTGGCTAGTCCTAATATTGTTATATTATTGGTTGGTAATAAAAAAGACTTGGAAGAAGCACGAGATGTCACATTTTTGGAAGCCAGTACTTTTGCACAGGAAAATGGTAATACAAAATAATTCAAAGAAAAGTACATATGTTAAATGATTTTAATTTGTCGTTCTTTTTTGTTTGTCCGTTGTTTTAGAATTAATATTTTTAGAAACAAGCGCAAAGACCGGTGAAAATGTAGAAGAAGCATTTCTAAAATGTTCAAAAACCATTCTTGCCAAAATTGAAACAGGCGAATTGGATCCTGAGCGCATTGGAAGTGGTATTCAGTATGGCGGAGCTGCGCTCAGAAATTTACAAACTAGACAACGTAGCATTAACAAACCAGATTGTGGTTGCCGTCTTTAAATATAAAAATTTAGTTTTAGAAAATATATTTTTAATATAATCTTAAATTTCTTAATGTTAATTTTTTGACGATAAATTTTAGTATAGTTTTGTTTATTATAGAATTATTTTAAAAAAAGCACTTACTAAAACTTTATGATATTGTATCGTTTTCAAAATGTAATCTATAAATCTCAAGAAATATTTAATTGTGAGCACTTTTTACAATACTCTGATAAATCATTCCTTATAGAGTTTTTTGGACTTAAGTTGTATCCTGTTTTATTATTTAATACATAAGCATTTTATCTGTTGCTTTTATTTTTATGTAAGTTTCTTTTACTTTTGTAAAATAACAAAACAAATTGTTTTATATTGGTCAACCAGTGTATATAAAATAATTAACATATAAGTTATATAGCACATTGATTTTATTATATATAAAGTTTTAAATTGTAATAAAATTGGCGTAAATAATATCAGTGGTTTTATTTCACTTAAATTGGAAAGACTGCTAATGCTTTTATTATCCCTAAACATCGACAATATAATTAGCAATGAAGTCGAAACGGTTTACTTATGATGATAACCCAATGTGGGAAGACTAGCGTTTTTAAAATAAAATCTTCTGTTTTTTATAGTTGTTACAGGTTCATTTAGATTAAAACTTATAAGCATTGAATAACTGTGTTATTTTAATTTAAATATACTAATATATTAATAAATTTTCTATTTTTTAGTTATATACATAGTAAAATTGTAGCAATAAACAAAAATACAGTGAATTCCAACTAATATAAGATACTTTCGTTCTAGTCAATTGTATAAGGCACCAAATTATTTAATTTTCGTTGATCCTATAAATTTGCTGTACAATAGTAATACACAGCCTTAACTCGTTATCAACATAGTCTCATTGTACATTATGGTTTAATGAAATGTTTATCAATAAATGAAAAGGGCAAATCTACTTTGCATTTAAACGGATAAGAATATTATTTTAATGTGATATGCAGACATATAAAGAAAAGTTACTGGGTTGTCTTAAAATATTGAAGCTTTGGTGTGCAAATAGTTTTCCCTATTTTTATTCTATAACTTAATAAAAACACACATATTACGATTTCTTTGATGGACTCACATTCACGAGTACACCTCGAATTTTATTGAATCTCTGAAAATACTGTATTAAGATAATAAAAAATTAACAGTAGTATGAATCTCACTTTAAACTGTTCTCGAATTTTGTTAAACTTTATTTATTAAAAATTAGTTTCTCTCTTTGTATGTTTTAATAAAACCGAAAACTAATTTCATTGTAAGGGTTTTACAAAAAGTATAAATTTGAATATTAAAAAAACTAAAAGTTGTCAATCTTTAATTATTTATGTAAACATATGTATTATTTTAATGACTCATATTATTAACAATTATTTATGACACGAGCAATAATTTGCATTAATACATACAAATGCATTTATCAATTGAAATATTTATATAAAAAATTTTATTAATACCAGTGACAAGGAATTAAATTACTTCAATCAACTTTCTTTTGGAAATTTTGATAACAATTGATTGGATCTAAAGCTGTATAAGACGAATATGCTGAACGACTGCCTTTGAAATTCTAGAAACAATATATATAATCAATTTCAAATTTGTTTTCAATAAATGTAAAAGAAACCTTACCTTGAAATCACCAAAAATTAGTAACCACAAAAAAATAAATACTGCATGTATGACATAAAGCATTGTAAAGAGTTCTATACTGATATTAATTTCCATTTTACACCTTTTGTTTTTTCTTACAGAATAAAACACAATACGTAGTGATTAGCATATGTTTGAATATGTCATGAATTTATTATTGTTTTAACTACAGGGTGATAAGTTGTTACATTAGAAATTTATTAAATACAGAGTTGTTCAAGTTTTGTGGCTTAAGACTTCTAATCACAATATTAACGATCACTTAGTTGTTGTTGTTAATTTGTACAAATATTTTTAATAATTTTAATTATATAAAATGCATTCACGGGTTCGAGTAACGAGCTCGGTAATAGTTTGACTCTGTTAAACTGGTTACTCTAACTCGTGAGCACACCTGATTGAGTTGATTTGTTAACGACAGCTGTTAAAATCAGTTGTGTTTTAATAAATTTGTTAATAATTGTGAAAACAAAAGAGATTCTGATACAAATATCAATATTATTATTAATATAATTGACATTTTGATAAAAAATAGTCTATTTATAGTGATTAGAGATAGTCAATAGTGATTATTAAATTGAACATATTTTATTATGAAAATTATAATCTGGCATAAAAATAAAACATGCTTATCATTGAACATACTGCCAGTGCCTTTTTTAAGGTGAAATAGCTTAATAATGTATAGATGATTGGTTGAGTTGTTAAAGTTCGCGCTGATTGAGCTGGCACTTGTGTTTTTTATTTATTTGTGCATTTAAAATTGTTGAAATGCAACTTTGAATTTTAACAAAGTAATTTTATTAGTTCACTTATGAGGTTTTATTCTTATTATGTATGAGGTGTTATTCTTATTATGTATGAGGTGTTATTCTTATTATGTATTCTCTGGCTCATAAGTTTGCTAATTGTTATACAAATGTGCATTCCAAAACTTTGCTAATATGTGTTTCAATTTTAATTTGTTCCCATTTATTGTGTGCTACTTATTATGGTAAACAATGTTAAATATTTGGTAATTTTGAGTAATTCAAATAAATTTCAAATTGCCAACGAAAAGGTAATATAAATATATCAACAACCGCTTAATATTACAAAATTATTTATGTTTACAATGCGTCATTGCATTCTTAATTGCGATAATGAAAACAATATGAAGTTGCATAGATTTCCACCCGACAAAAACAGGTATATTATCAGTATTTTTGTTTAATGAAAATCTAAATAAATTTGAATGCAGAAACTCTTTATGGAGAACACTTTTAAATGTAGAGAATGATGAGGCGAAAGGTTTGTATGCGTGTCAAAATCATTTTTCTGGATACATGTATGCAGGCACAAATCTAAGAAAAGGCGCGATACCTGATACTAATTTGCCCATTGAGCCAAGTGACGATTTAAAAATGGAAATTTTAAAATTGATAGCACAATCTGAAATCAAATCGCCTCCATCGCCCCCAATGAATTACACAGGAGTAAAGCTACCTGTGCGCTCCCCATACAAAAGAAATACTATGAATTATGAAAAGTTAGAAAATGTTATTGTTGAGGAGGTAATGCAACCAATGCACCAAGGTAACATAAATCTTAACGATAATATATCGCAAAATAATAAATATTACCTAATTTTAGAAGAGAACACGATTGTTAATTCTGGTGCTACAGATTCTCAAAGAAAACTTTTAACTAAAGCCCGACAAAATAATTTAAACTATGGACCAAATCATTTAGTTTTAATTAAAGAAGCAGAGAGTAAATTGTAAGTTTACATTGGGTATAGAAAGTTTTAGATATGTTATGTATATTCCTTTTCAAATAATTCAGCATAAATGAGGAGGAGTACGATGCTGATGCCATTGCTGACAAATTAGTTGATATCACAGATGATAATAAGGCGTCCGGTACATGCAAATATCCATCAAATAAAGGGCAAGTTTTTTTAACATTTTACATTATTATAGTTTCGTATCGTAATTAAAGATTTATAAGCAGCAATTTATACGACTGGCATTCTTTAATTTAAAATGATTTATATACCATATGTGTATAATAAAAAAGAAACATTTCTAATTATTTAATTTTTTGTTATAGTGGCTGTGGTCGTGTAGAAGCATCGCCAAATAAATGTCTGTTTAGTTTACAGTGTCATTATTGTACACAACGTTTTCTTATTTGGAACTGGCGAAAATTTGTGCATCATATTCGTGTAGAACACTTTCAAATAACTGATAACCTTCTTTATGTAGACATAAATGGCGATATTATATTTAGTAGTAAAGATCAAAGCATGGATACTGTAAAAAATGTCAAGGTTCCAAACTATCTTCCTCAATTGTCTGTTGATAATACGAGTCAAATTATTAACGAAAGTATTAAAATAAACTCTACACAAAATGAGAACAAAAATGTTGAGTTAAAAATGATTCCATGTACGGTCAGATTAATTTCAGACCAAGATGTTAAACAACAATCAGAAGCGAAGACAATACCAAGTACAGTCATATTAAATCCTGGTAAAGATGATAATGAGAAGTCAGAACTGAAGATAATTCCATGTAGTGTTAAAATAGTTTCTGAAGAAAATGCTAAAAAAAAAGCGGAATTAAAAGTTATACCCACTGACGGAGAAGTTTCTGAAAATGATTTGAAAAACAAAGAAATGAAGATAATACCATGCACTGTTAAATTAATATCTAAAGAGGATGATAAGAAAAAAATACATGCGAAGGCAATAACAAGTACTGCTAAAATAAGTAGTGAACCAAATCTTAACAAGAAAGAAATGCGGAGAATTCCTTGCACTGTAAAATTAATCCAAAAAAAAGATGTTAATAGAAGACCAGAAGTGATGTCTAAAAATTCAAGCAATGTTAGAATATATTCCGAGCGGGATGTAAAGATTCCCGGTTTAACCAATAAAACTATTCATTTCGAAGAAATGTCATCTGACAGTGAGGATACCAATCTTTATCTTGGGTCTAACAGTGTAAGTTACGTTTGTCTTAAAATAATTTATTTAGTAATAAATAAATAAATTTATATAGGATTGTTCAGATATGGAAGAATTAAATTCGAAAAAGTCACTACACTATCAGGTAAGTTGTTCTTTGTATTTAGTTGAGTTCAAAAATATAATAATGCTATTCACTCTGTCTTGCAAACTCATTGCAAGGTGGACGAAATGCAGGGATATTTTGTAACCATTTAATCGAATTTGGTAATTTTATCAGATAAAAGTAATGAGAAAAGTACTGGCAACAATTCTTGAGAGTGAGAATAGGTTAGGAACTTAAGTTTAAGTGAAGAAAATGGGATTTAAATTTTTGAAATTTTGAATACTGGTAGCATTTGCTAGTTCTACAGTTTGCATGTAATTCTCTACTTAGACATGTAATTATTTTTATGTGTATCAACAAAATGCAACATATTAAAATTATTTTTAATATTGTTGTGTTAATGAAGGTTAATATATACATAATCCGCTGTATATTACCACTTAGCGTTTATCTCGTCAAATTTTCCTTTAAAAATTAAAAACCTTCATAGAAAGTGTTCTTAGACTGTTTCTATACTTGTCATACAATTTGATATTCGTTTGATGATATTTGATAACTTGCCACCAACACATTTGCTAATGATATGCTATTTTAAGTAAACACATGAGTTATTATTGTAGCCACTAGTCAACTTCAGTTTGATCTAATTGGCAGGTCTAAATTTATACATTGAAAAGCCATTACGTTAACTTAACCAACCTTAGAGCAAACCTTTATCAATTAAAGTGGTACCCTTAAATATTTTAGCCCTCATTATAGATGTGAGGCGTATAATATAAAAGTTATTTACTTCATTTTATCTTAAACTTAAAGATTAAACAGTAATTAAGATTAAATTACTTATTGTTAGTCACTAATGTAATAGAACATTTAATAACTAACAAAATACTTGTTAAAAATACCATAATTAAATGAAACAAAAATTTTTAATATTATGAAATATTTTAAGATTCGTGTTGGAACTACTTATTCACCTGTTGTTGGAGACTTCTTAAAACTTATCAAATCACATTCAGTACTTCGGTCAAAACGCTATGTATCACCAAAGGCATTTGATAATGCTATATGTGATATTAAGACAAAACTCAACAATAAATGGAATATAAATACTACAAGCCTTGGAATTCGACAAAGTTTGAATCATTTAAAAAAACATAATCCAAATATATTAAACGATTTAAAACATAACCAGAAACTTGTAAAATTATTAAGGGAAAAATATAAGTGTGAAAATAATGATGATATGCCAAAAAAAGAAATCTCAAAACCAAAAAAAAGAAAGATGAATAATATATCAAAGTCTATGGATAGTTCTACATTAAAAAGCCTTGAATCATCTGAAGAAAATAAGGTCGATAAACTTGATTCTGAAGATGTTACAATTATTTCTGATAATAATGATAATGATAGTGATAGTAATAATGAGAATGAGAATAATGATAATGATGATGATGAGTGCAGTGATATTGAAGATGATGATAATGATGATGATGAAGATGAAGATGAAAATGACGAAGAGTTCAATGAATATAATAATGTTAGCGTTAGTGAAGATTGTGAAAATGATACAATCATAACAGATCATAACTATGGACAGCAAAATTTATCATACACATGTGATAAGTGCAGTGCAAGTTATAAAACAGAAAAGAAATTGAAAAAGCACATATTTATAGAGCATAATATTGGAGATAACCCATATAAATGCAGTGGATGTAATAAGCTGTTTCGCAATGCACATAATTTTCGAACGCATTCAATTTTATGTTTGAATAGAGGGCAAAAATATATATGTCATATATGTGGTAAATATTACAGTAGATTCTCTATTAGACATCACATGCAATTACATCAAAAACCAAAATTTGAATGTAAGTTATGTCCGAAAAAGTACCACAAGCCATATCTTTTTAAGGAGCACATGAAAACACATAAACAAGCACGTGATAACATATGTGAATACTGTGGTAAGGGCTACAACACTCGTAAGAGTTTGGCTGTTCATCGCAAGGTACAGCATAATCTTACCTTTAAATGTGATATATGCAATTTAAAGCTTAGTTCCGATGCAGCAGTCGTTCGTCATAAGCAGTATATGCATTTAGCACTGGAAGGAACAAACGAAGAATTGGAGGAAAGGACTAAATTTAATCGCTATCCAAAAATTATAGATCCCGAAACTAAGAAGAAACGATACTTTTGCGAGTTATGTGAAAATACATATGCAAATTGCAGTTCGTTATTATCACACAGAAGAAATATACATAAAATTAAACCGAACAAAAAGAATATGTATCGCAAAACGGTGCTCAGGAAATGGAATAAACAAAAGGCTGCAAGCTTGCAAAATAGTGCGAAGGAAGAAACCGATGAATATATTCCGCATGATGAATATCAATATATTGAGATGAAAGAAGATGATGATATAATATTGGAAGAGACCGAGGGTGACGAGTCCTTTAATTTGTTAGATGAATATTTTGAATTAATTGATTAATTAATTGATTTTATTTTGTTGGTAGTTAAAAAATTTTTGTTAAATAAACTTAAATTTAATAAACAAATGAAATATTTTTATTTTATTTAAATACCAAATTTGTGCAATATTACCTAAAATTTAGCGTTGGTACTTATCAAAGCTATTTTTTTTTCATGCATGTTTTACTAAAAACAGTCCGTAATTATATATCGCTTGAAAATATTAAAATTAATATTCTGCAAATGTTTATACAAAATAAGTAATTAAAATTAAATTCTGTTTAAAAATAATTTAATGATTAATAATAATAAATTAATAATAGGCTTGTAGATATATCTACATATTTCTTAATTGTAATATTTTATTCGGGTATCGCCATGCAAGAACTGAAAAGGTTTATGGTCTCTTCTAGGAGGAAGAAGTAAATATATCAAGCTATTGTGTATATGCCCAGTCTTATCAGAAGTAGGACTGCAATTTTTGCAAAACTCTTTTACGAGAATTCCGAAGTACTACAAGTTATGTAAGTAGATCTTGAATTAACACTATTTGTAGCACAGAAGCCCTTTAGAAAACCAAATTAATTGAAGGGATGACATATTGAATGAAGAGCTTTATAGTAACACAACAGACCTATAAGAGTTTCATATGCTGTTTGTCGCAGAAACGCGACTGAAACCCCAATTGCAATTATTCACTCACTTGTTTGAAAACTTAAGTCTATACTGTCTAAAGAATATACAGATCGTTGAGATTCCAATTTTCCACACACTCCGATCTCTTTATACTCTACACTATGTGTGGATATAGCATACTTGTTGAGATATCAATGTTTAAATTTGTAAAATATTTATATTAACTATTCAAACAAAAACTGCATACACAATCTAACGCCAAATAGTTGGTACACGTAATTTTTACTGTGATTATTTAAACTACGAGTAAACTACAGAGCCAACTGGTGCGGCACATCCATTTTTTGTTGGTAGTTTACATGTAGAATTTATTAGTTAATAATAAATAAAATCTATGGATTGATCGGTGATACAATTTTTACATTATTACATTATTAAATAAAAAACATAAAAATATAGTTATTAGTTTTAGATTATCCCAATATGACTTTAATTGAAATAAATTTTGGACTATTTTTTTTTTTTAATTATATAAGCACCCACTAATACAACAAATGGATTCCTAAGCATGGGTTTTGGATAGGTTTTATAATTGTTCAAATTTAATTAATAGTTAATAAAACCTACACGCAGCATACATGCGTATATATAAACTAAAAATTGTAAAACAAGCCAGAGAAAAACATAATTACTTAGTTTACTCATTTATTTATTTAATTATAAACGTTCTTTTACTGTTGGTTATTTTCTTACTTTAATTCATTACAATTGATCGTTAAAAAAAAGAGTTACAGTTTTCGGTTGGGCTCTGCCTAATTAAAAAATAGTTCTTTACACAGCATATAAATTTAACTGTTTGTAAATAATAAATAAAAAGTAATTCAACAAAATATATTTAAAAAAAAATGTTTGCATAAAATGTTAAATAGAAAATATTTTTTTCTCCATTAATTAAATTAATTTTTTTTTAAACGAAATATAATATATTTTCTAATAAAAACAAATATTTTCACTATAAAAAAATATATTTGTTTTTACTAAAGAAAATGCATTTTCTTTTACTATAAAATAAAATTATTTTTTTATTACTATAAAAAAAATACTTTTTTCATGTAAAAAAAATATTTTCTGGTAACAAATAGATATTAATTTCGGTTTAATTTGCATTATACTAATATATGTATATAAACACACATTAACGCATATACATATGCAATTTAAAGGAAATTATTAACAAAATAAGTAAAAAAAATATACAATAGAATAAATATATTACACTGATTGATTCGTTATTTGAAAATTACAAAATGCAAACAAATCTTATAGTGTAATCTAATATTCAAATTTTGTACTAAAAAACTGTATAAATTAATGTAAATATATATGTACATATGTAGTTAAGTTTTCTTATATTTTGCATATAGCTCAAAGTATTCGAACACAAAAACATATGTAAGTAACAAATGACTATCATAAATATATCATTATAATAGGATTTGCCACTTTAAAATAAATTATGATATAAAAAAAAATAAGAAAATTTCGAGTTATTTCACAAAAAAATAATTTCATAAACTCGCAATCTTGTAATTTCAATATACAATTAAAATTATTATTTAATAATTAATTTTAATTGCTTATTAAGTAATAAATATATTTCATAAAAAAGTTATATTAAAAATTTAAATAGTTTAGTGCCTTTAACGCAGCCGTCGTTATAACATAAAGTTATTAACAAATTCACGATTTGTAAAAATTTTATGAAATTTTTAATATTTTACATAATAACAAGGGCAGCATTTAATAAATAGCAAAACATTTTTTATATTTATTATATGTACATATATATTTACACCATTTAAAAATATTGCTTTGTACCACTGGTAGCTTTGTGTATAAGTTTGACTTAATAGCTTAAAGGGATGTTAAGGATGTATGAGTTCAATTATAGCATGAGAAAAGTTCTATTGTTAGTTTTATACAAATTATATAAAAATACAATAATTGTGCATTATAAATATGTGATCATGTAAAAAAATTTCAAAATTTTATATGAATATAGTTATATTAAAGTAAATACTTTGCTCAGTATATATATATATATATAAGTTATATACATAATGCATATAATTACTTGATTTGTTCTTATTTTAGTTTCTTTAGTTAATTTTTATAAAACTGAGAGTTTTAGATTTTACCAATAGAAAATTGTCTTTGATTAATAGTTTTTTGTATATAAAATTTTTATAACTAATCACTAATATTTATGGCAATTTCTTAATTGAAATTATGTACTTATAATTTAAATCGAAATATACATATATATGTATATGTATATATTTACAATTGGAATATACATATAGGGTATACAAAATAGTTTATACTTAAATATATGTAAAGTTGACGAGAAAAATTTGAGTTTATTTTGCATATGATCTTTTGAAAGTAATATTTCCACTAAAGCCGAACATTTGACTTAAGTGACTGTTGGTACTTGAAGAGACGCCACTGCCAGATGAAGTACGCATGCGTTTTGATGGTGGTGACATTTTCTTAGGAGTTTGTGCGAGACGTTTGCGTTCCTTCATATATTCTGAAAAAAAAAAAAAAAAAATTAAATATTAAAAATTTTAATCAGTCATATATATAATGTGATGATATTAAAGATAAACAGAGAATGCACTAGATTATATATCTATGAATTAATATAATTTATCAACTAATTCGAACTTAAGACTATTAAAAAATAAATTATTAACTTATAAATATTATTAATTAGGGTACGAAATAAGAGACTTAAAATTTTATATTCTTTTTCGAGTTAATTTTTATGTTTAATTGCAAATAATATATAATTAAAAATTAAAATACTCTATTCTGTATTCTGCGAAATTAAACAAAATACAAAATAATTTTATACTTCCTACCATACAATAAAAATATAAAGTCTCTGAAAATTATAACATGTTTCCAAGAGCAAGCGATACTATACGCGGCGTTGAAGCTAGTCACCATGGATAACGAAGTGCTGATCACAACTCCCATCGGAACGTTTTTGTTTTCAACGAAGACAAACCAATTAGGTATCTTCAGAATGGAGAAACTACTACAAAAACAACACTAACAGCATAAATTATAATCTTTTTGAACATTTGCTTAGTTGTACAATCTTTTGCAATATATCAATTGCTATTTTTGGTTTCATTGCAACGGTGCACATGTACTTATTAAGAAAGAAGAATCAAAGAGCCTATGGAGATCATCCCTAAGTAGTTCATTTATTTGTTTTTTGAAGTACCGAAGTCTGTCACTCTATTGGCACGTGGCAGTCCCGAGGGTTGTAGATGGTGAATTGAAAAATGCCTTTACAAATTAAGAAAACAAATAATTGAAAGAAAAGGTAGTCAGTTACTTCTTACAGAAAAGGTAGACAGGCCAAAAAAGGTTTTTAAGGAGGCACACAAATGTATAGGTAAATATTAAATAATATAATATACCACTAAAATTGACTTGCATGAAATAGCGTTTATTTACGGTAAAAATATAAACATTTTTAAAAACGTAAAGTGCACATAGTTAAATTAATTAATAATTTGAAACTATTAAGTTAAAATAAAAAATATTAATTAATTTAAAAAAAGGTTCTTTAAAGTCTTCCCAATGTGTTAATTACTAAAAATATTCTTTTTTAAAACATTGATGAAGATATAATGTGATTGTAGATGCGTACAGAAGGGCCTGTTGGTTAGGTAGTTGCAGAGGCTGACCTTTCGCCTCAGATAATTCGTAGTTATTTGTCGTTTTAATACCAAATTCCTTGCAAGAAACCCCTACAGATAAGCTAAATACAGCAAGCTGAATTTATATAATTTAAAAAAATCTTACTCATTAGCAAAACCTTTGCTCCGACATACTGTCAAGAAAGTAAAGAAAGAAAATTTTCCTAAACATCCGTTCTTTTTGTTAGTTAAAGCTGGGCATTCGCAGAAAAATGAGTGACTGTTTCTTCTTCGTTCAAGTTTCTGCAACTTTTAAAAGAAGTATTGAACGAAATGCGCAGGTTTTTTACGTGTTATGCTATACACCATTGTCCGAAAAGAACAGCGGCTGGCTTTGCAGTACTACGTTCTTGGTTATAAGACCGTTTAACATGGTCTTATTGTACAAAGGCTAGGACGACTATGACGTTTTATATGTTAGGATTGACTTCCATATCTCATTATCTATCTGGAAAAACCGTCTCTACAGTTCTTAGCCGTCTCTACAGTTGAAAAAAGCGTATGAGAACAAAAAGTAAGAATGCAAATTTAAATATTATTTACAACAAAAAAAAAAAATGGCAACAACAACGATGTTATCTTGCTTATTATAGTAATTTTGTACACTAATTATTAATTTGCATTACAATTATTTGTTTTAATGGTATATAAAAAACGCATTGTAAGGTATTTAAAATAGCATTGCATATGCAAAGATCTCTAGACCTCTGTAGAGATTTATAATTTATTAATCAGACGCCATGCATGGTGTTATTAAAAATTTGTTCAAATTTAAAAAAAAAAACAACTATACACAGTATATGCGGGATTGTTAAGCTTCTGTTTAATATTTGAGATTTGACGATTTTATTCAAGCACTTCACTCTTAATAATAATAATAATAAAATAGAGAGAAAACGTTACAAAATGCAGAGTAATAATGGTTAGTTGTTTGTGTACATATTGAAAAAAATCAAATGATTGGTTAATTGATGAATTAAATGTTCAATTAATAGAACTTGTAACGGTTAGCTATAAACATGTGTATATGTTGTTGAATAGAATGATAATAGTAAACAATCAAGCATTGATCATTTACAGTAATTTAATTCATTGAAACCATTTCAATAAAGAATTTTTCTGCTAAAAATATAATGTATTGTGAATGAATATGTAATTCATGTTGCACACAGAGTAAAAGTCTGATTCATTACCGCCGTGTAACACTGCACTACTCTCCCTTTCAATAGAATACATATACATATACATATGTAGGTATATGAAATATCGATCTTACTGATCTGGCAGTTATAATAAAAAAAAAGCGTTCAACGCATCAATTTTCGAAACACGTACCAATCTTTTAAATTGTATTAAATTAAAAAAATATACATATATTCACAGCTGTTAACATTTAATTTTCCATAAGTTCAATAGAATTTTTCCAAAACACACTAAAGGGTCGGTCACTCAACCTCATGTAAATGCTTTACATTCAGTAAGCCTGCACTATACTTAGAGTTTCCGAAACATCCCCCTCCTTGAAGTGAGCATGCAATCACGCACAAGTAACAGGGATGATTTTCTTTCTGGTTTGCCGTTAGCAGATCAAAAAACGCAAACGTAAACGCAAACGCAAACCCGAAATGCAATTGACAAACTTTATGGGGGATCAAAATTGTTAAGTAACTTCTAAAACAGCTGCAGTGAACTGATATTGATGATATTTTCAAATGACGACGCGACTAGGAACACTTGTGCACGCAAAACAGCAACCCTTTAGTCATACTGAAATGGAATATCACTTTCCAACGATCATGTTTAGTTAATGCATTGCACTATAGGGTAACGAAATCACTGAAAAAGTTAACTAAAGCTATAATTATCATCAGATTTTGTTTTATACGCCACAGCATTTTCTACCTTTAGTCAACATTTAGTACTTGCAAAGGAAGACCGGAAATGGTGCACAAAAAATCCATTAAAAATCACGTAAACCATGTCAATAAAACATCAAACCCTAATTATTAAAATTTTTGAAAAAAAATTGTGCTTGTTTGAATAAAACAAAAATAGGGGAATTTATTTTTTATCAACTCCAGGAACACCTACACTTATCGGCGACTAATATGATTGAGTAAAAATTCATACCAAAAAAAAAAAAACTGAACTATTATCATATATTTTTGTACCGCAATTATAATTTCATTTGTTAAGATTTAACGTATATTTCAGTCAGAAGTTTCCCTTGAATTTCTTTAAAACTAGCAATATATACTATTTTATTGTATGCAAAATAAATTGAACTCAATAATAATAATTCATCTCAATAAAAACAAAAAAAAAATTTTTCTATAAGTCGTTTATTAATTTAAAAATTAGAAGTAACTATCTTTTTTGTTATTTATTTGTTTAAGTCCAATTATAAAATTAACGTTAAACTTGTTAGACAACTATAGCTGCGGGATAAGATGAAAGAAGTGTGGTCAGATTGGACGCACTTACTTGGAACCCCCAGGGGACTAGACGCAACAATGACCTGGAGAAGGACAGTCCAGCAGGAGACAGGCAAAGTGTTTAACGAGTTGAGAGCAATAGCACAAAATAGAAACGAGTGGAAAATTGTTGTAGACTCCTTAAGCTCAACTTTAGACTTTATAATAAAAGAACTCATTTTGAATTTTGATCAATGTAAATATGTAGTAAGGTTAATTAAATATATAAAATGACACATAAAAACCGATTTATAATTATTTATTCTTAAATTAAGTATAGAAATTGGATACTCCTGAATTATTTTGCTACTGTAAAAGTACCAAAAGGTGAATAAATAAAAAAAGGAATACTTGCTTTAAAAATGATTTACATTTAATTGTATTAAATTATAATAAAATACCACGAAAACCTTAGGTTCGCATTATCCACATAACAAAAATAATTCTATTCTAATCTTTTTCAAATGATCATAACATCAACTAATAATTTTGATCAGAACTAGTCCTTTGACAGAATTGTTTAAAATCTTTTGGAAGCTTAATTCGAGTTGCAGTGACCGCTTGCTAAGCTAACCAGGAACCGATGGAACATCAAACAAAACTATACGGATTACAAGAAGAAGTACACTTCAATTGCTTTTTTCTTAATGCACTCAGCTAGTTGATCATTAGGTCTGAACCTAAAAAAGTTTAAAGATAGAATATGTTACTCTAACTTGAATTTCTAAGTTTCCTTAATGAATCTAAGAAGATCGGGTAGAGAATGAAAGAGAGAGAGAGCATTTTTATGCTTTCACACTATAACAAAACAATCTCAAGCCAGTTCTTCCAAATACTGGGCAATAAAAGACGAATTGCTCTGTATCATATAGTATTATATCAAAATTTATTATTCGCAAGTTGCAAATATTAAGTACCTTTTTACTTGACTTCTTAATAACCTTATAATATTAAAATTTTAATAATAAATAGTTTTATTATCTCATATTCTAATATGTATTTTAACAAAAATCAAACTACGTTAATATTTTAGCAACCACTCTGCTATACTTAACAATTCCATTTCCCATAATTGATTATTGAAGCAGAAATTTGAAATATAAAAAACTTTTACGAATGCAATATTCCATAGACACTTGCATTGAGGTAAAGAATATATAATAAAACCCACATATTTTGAAATATAGCATATATTTAGAATATAAAAAAACGTGAGAATTAATTTTGTTGCGTTTGATTGAGCACAACATTTTCCCATAAGTTTTTTATAACGTTCATTTCATTTCCTGAATAGTACATTTATTAAGTGTACATAGACGTGCTTCTGCACCCTGTTTTGCATACCATTTAAATTGCTAAGACTTTTTGATTTTTAACGTTATTTTGCTGTTCAAAACCGTCAAAAATATATGCTGTGGCATATGTTAACATATATAATTTGAAAATTGTATTTAAAATTAATTTTATACTTTATAACGTAAGAAAATCAACAGCGATCTGGATCTGTCAATGAACTTTTCCAGGATGACTGAACTTAGTTAACACAATTTTAGTAATAAGATGTATTAAATTCATATAAATGTTTATATACAGACATATATATACAAACATATGTAAGCATACAATATATGTAGAATCTTATAGATAATATACAATAAGTTCTTATTTTGTGATATGTGTAAATAATTATATATCTTACCTGTTATCTTCGGTTGACGTTTACGCAAATTAGGTTTACTGCTAGGCAATGTAATTTTTGTAGTTTTATTGCTATGGCCAACTATAGTTGGAACCTTAAATGTTACTGTTGCTTCGTCCTGTGATTCATCACATGAATCCGTATCTGTTGCAGAGCTGATGAAATTTTCACGTTCAGCACGTTCATCTATTAACAAATCGATAGGAGTTGGTGGTGTTGTCACTGGACGTACATGTGCCGCACGTGTAAGTGTATACATTTCGGGTGAGTTTGTTGCCTCTTGGAAAGTCACACGTTCCCATACGAAGTGCGAATTACATTTTATTGGCATTCCATTCCGAAAATCAAAACCCCATTTTTTGGCAGCTTTTTCGTGATTCTTTTCAAGTTCATCTGATGCATATCTGAAAAGTGAATCATACGAAATGAAATTGAAATGAGATTATAGAACTATCAACAGTGCAATAGAGTATATGCAAACATAATGATTTTATTATTTACTGAATTTATTATTATTAATTATATTTAATTGCAATGATCCTACAATTCTTTTAAGATTTTAATTTTATAATTAATGTAATTACAAGTTAGGTGGACGACATCTACCGTATCCGAAAAAACTATGAGTTGTAGAAGCTTGATTACAACATTAATATACGTATTATTCAGAAAACTGATAGTGAGGATTGAAGTTGATGCTTCAGAGAAAATCGTGTTCAAAGGGACAGTGGAATGAACCCACATAGGGATCAACGAGTTTTCGGTGGAATGCTAAGATTGATGAGGCACTAACCATATTTGATCTTGGAGATTGGGCACATCTATCAGAGGCACTTTGAGAGAAGTGCTGTAACTGAAAGCCGTAACGGGTGTTTTGAATTAGCATATATAATAGAACTTATGTTTATAAATGTTTCGCTTAATATTATTTAACAATATTGTTACAATTTTTATATTTACTTTGTCCTTTCTAACTAAAAAGGATACAATTTGTTAGCTTTCTTCTCTTTTAGCACCTACTTATTAATAATCAGTCTTATTCAGAAGATATAAATATATTTATATTAAAGTCATTTATTTTCGATCAAATAGTTAATTTTCCAATATATTTCACGGATTTTCGAAAATATATTCTATCTTAATAATATTAGAATGGCTGAATATAGTCTAATAAATACGGTAACTTCGTACGTAAATAGACCAATTTTTGTGTGGAGTTGACAGAACTAATGTTGAATCTTATAGTTATAGAATATAGTTAGTTATACAATATGAATTGCACGCTTAAGGTACATCCACACTAAAGCGAATGCTTGCGAATGAACGAACTTTTTAAGGTACTATTACCTGCGAATGTTCGTTTGTTCGCTATCGTTCGATTTGGGGTGGACGCACCTTTGCGGATCAGTTATATCGAGAGCAACACGAATGATCTATATAAGGAATTGAAAAATTTTCATAAAATAATAATAGTTAATTTATTAAAAATATATAAAAATTTACTTACTTGTTTATTTCAGCAGGACTAACTGAACCGAAAAGGTCACGTTTAATGCGATTTAGTTGACGTCCACAAGATAAATTGTTGACTGCT